CCCCGCAGGCCTGGAGCCCCGGAGCAGATGGGGACCCCGGCCTCCCCCGCGGGGAGGACCCCGACTCAAGACCCTAGCAGGCAGGAAGGGCCTCTCAGAGTTCCCTCCTCAGTAATGAGGTCCCCAGTGCCAGTCGGTATCAGGCCTGGCAGTAAAGAAAGAGGTCCCCCCACTCTCAGCCCTTAGGTGGGTCCAGGGGGTGTCCCCATCCAGCTAGAAAGGCTAGGCAGGGGGCTGGGCGAGGAGGGAGGGGAGATTAAATCGGCAGGTGTCTCCTGTCTGAGCTCTGATTGCCTCTTTCCTCTATCTCAAAAGGGTTGATTTTTTCCCCCTTCCTTTTCTGTTTTTGATACCCAGGGGCATTTTACCTTTGAGTCACATCCGCAGCCCTTTTTGTTTCATTTTGAGACTGAGTCTCACGAAGTTGCTTAGGCCTGGCTAAACTGCTGAGGCTGGCTCTCACTTGAGATCCTCCTGCCTTAGCCTCCCCAGTCGCTGGGATTATAGGAGTGTAATCCATCACACCTGGCTAGCTCGGGGAATTTAAAGCTGGATGAATGAATTTCAGAAAATTCCAGGGAAATTTCTTGGCATAGAATGAAAAAAGCCATATGCATTTGATTGGCTAAAGGGTAATCGGGTGCCTGCCACACTCTTCCTCAAAGGTTGTGTCCCTTCCTGGGTACATGAAGAATCGTAGCTTTGAGTGCTGGGGATGTAGCGCAGGAATGGACCATTCTCCTAAGCATGCAGAGGCCCCGAGTTCCATCCCCAGCACACAAAAACAGAATAAAGACATCATGGATTTGGACCAGGTCAAAACTCACGTTACTCATGTTATCAGTTGTTAAACCAACCAACCCTGAAAGTGACCCTTGGGTCCCCCCTCCCACAGGAGTAGAGAGCTCCACACAGGTATCCCTTCCCTGGCCTTCCTCCACCCACTGGAAGAGTGGGCTCTCTTAGGTGTCTGGTGTTTAGGTGGGGACTCTGGGGCCCAGCACTGTCCCTGCCACACTGAATCCAAAAAAGGCCTAATCCAGCAGAATGCCAGAGGACACGTCGCCACTTTAAACCATGGAGTGCCTGAACTTGAACATATTTTTCAGTTTTGGAAAATGCATTTTTGATCATTCCCAGGGGATTCTCACAACCACACACAGGTTCGAAGGCGCAGGCAGGATCAGAGCAGGGAGATGCCCGACCAAGTTCTCAGGATCAGCAAGATGGTGGCTCCTCAGAGTGACCTGGCTGCCACCCCTGCTGTCTTGTGGTCTCCCCAGCAGCCAGAGCTGTCTTCAGAACCAAAGTTCTCATCTTGCCACCCCTTGCTTAAAAGCCCTCGGCCACCCCTGGAATGACATTTGCCAGGGCCCCAGAACCCTGGCCACTCCTGTCCCTTATCTCAGGCTGCTCCTCACCCACTCAGGCCCATCTTCTCTGGCACTCACGCCGTTCTTCAGATTCCCTGAGTTGCCCCTTCCCCCAAGATCTTTGTAGCTGCTGCTGTCTCCTCTGGAACTTTCTTCTTTCATCTTCCTCCTCTCAGCCAGCGCCTGCTTCAGGGCTTAGCTGAATGCACCTCCTGCAATATCCCAGCCACCCGCAGGAGCTCTGCATCTTCTTTATTACAGAAGCCTGTTTGCTTTCCTTTAGAGAATTTATTGTAGTCTGTTAATACTTTGTTGTTTTTAAATTTTCACTGTCTAGCTCTTTGCCTCTTCCCAGAATCACAAGCTCTATCAGGGCTGGGACCTTGTCTGGCCTGTCAGCAGAGAATCTCCAGCCCCTGGCATATAGTAGGTGCTCAACAAACAGCACCCTACTTAAAATGAATGGTAGAACAAATGGAGGGGGCAAGTGTTAAAATGAATGGTTGGAGCGAGTTGGGGAAGGTGCCTTTATAGCCTCAAGATTTCTGTCTTTGTAATGTCTAAGTCCAAAGAAAACAGGGGCACAGGTCTTGGGTGAGCGGGGAGAATCTTAAAATTCTTGAAACTTCTGCCTCGCTCCCCCTTGGTAGAAAAAATCCCATTGTCCCCCTCAAAGAGAGAAGGGACTTCAGAACTGCTTCATTTGGGTTATAGCTGGGATTCTTCTACACCAGAACACTGGGTTACACCAAGAGACAGGAGTCGAAACAGCTCCTAAACTTCCTCAAGCCAAAAATAAAAACTACCCCCTTCCCATCAGCACCACTGACATGTGTTCTTGCTAAATCTACATACATTTATCGCCTGACCTTGGTTTCTGTAAACTGTCACCACTTCCCTGGGACCCGCAGAGGAGCAATCTAGTTCCTTCTCCCCAGTTTGATCACACTACCTAAGATTCCTTTTTCCATCGTTGGCCTGTTTCTTAGGTGGGCAGGTGGACGGCAGCCCGGCCCTGCCCAGGCAGCCTCCCTAACTTGGCTGCCAGTAGACTGTCAAGTGCCCGAGGGAGAAGCCCTTGAAAACGAAGCTAAATCCCAGACATCTCCCCAGGAGCCCCTGGGTGTGAGGGACTGTCACCCCCTCTCACCCACCTGTTCTCAGAAGCAGGTCCGCTTGGCCCCTTTGGTGGAAAATGAAACTGAGGCTGGGCGTCACTTGCCAGTGTCCTCTAGCAAGGGCTTCCTCTCTCTCCTCTGTCTCATTTCAGAGACCTCCCTTTCTGGGAAGATCTCCTGACTACCCGCCACCTGCTGGCCTGCTGTGTCCCAGGACAGCTCGCAGGACAGTGGTGTCTTCCACTCTGGACAGAAGGTCCAGAAGCTGGGTCTGTTGCCTCCAGGCCTCGCCTGAGGCTGCAGCCTCCAGATGTGTGAGCAGAGGTGGGAGGCAAGACAGGGAGGCTGGCCGCTGGCTCCAGGACCAAGGCCAGGCACCCTGAAGTCCACCGCCATCTGTAGCTGGGTGATACAGGAAGCTTATGTGCACCCCAAAACACTGAGATGGAGGCCTCTTTATCTTTCAGCACACAAAAGTTGAGGGCCCCCTTCCTGAAATACTGCTGCAGGCCCCCCCTCGAGGTGGGGAAGGCTTAGCGGGGCTTTGCTGGGTGGGGAGCACCCTGGGGCCTCCTTGGTGAGTGACACTCCTACAATGGCAGCCCCACCCCCAGACGTGCTAGTCAGCCACTGTGTGGAGCCCCTACACCCCCTTAGGCTTGGCCTCAGCAGGAATTCGGAAGGGCAGGGGAGGGGGGCTGCACAGACCTGACCCCCACCGTGTGCCGCGAACACCTACTATGTGCCATGGACACCTACTGTACGCCATAAAACAAAAAAAGTATCCCTCCTCTGCCCCACTCTGCTTCACTTGAAGACTGAGGATCAGGGAGGAGGCAGCACTTGTCCCCTCCTGTCACCAGGCTGGAAAGCAAGGACCAGGATCTTCTGCGCTTGTCTCCAATCCTGTTGGTACTGACTTCACTAAGCAGCCTCCAGAGCCCAAGGCACAGCTAGAAGGTGGCCAGGCCGCCTGGGGCCCCGACTCTGGTCCATGCATTTTGCGGAGGGCGGGCTGCTTCTCCAGGTGGGGACCTCACAGGGTTGGTGCCCCAGGAAGACCGGGGTGCTGGGCTGGTGGATGGCCGGCACTGTACTCCCTAATTGCCTCATTTGCGGTGGCAGATGCCACACCCGGCCCCAGGAGCGCAGGGAAAGGAGAACAACCTTGGCTTTGTGGGGAGTTTCCGCCTTGGTGTGCCTGCAGCTGCGGAGGAGGAATCTGGGCTGACTCTGGGCCTGGTGCTCACCAGAAGGGTTTGGCTGAGACCGAGAATGAGCAGTGGAACCCTAGCTCCCTGCAGAATGCCCCGGTCCCCCATGTCCCCGCTAGACGGGGAAAGTGCCAGAAACCAGATGAGGGCTGGAAGCCCTGCCCTGTGGAGATGGAAGGCCCGGGGTGGATATAAATGCTCACATGTTTCTGACAACAAAGGCCTCGTGGCCTGGTGCCACCCGGGCACGGCCCATTTGTCTGGACAGCGTTAGTCACGCCCATGGCTCTTGCGGTTGGTTTGCCGAAGGCAGGGGATCTTCAAGGAATCCTGGAACATGTCGGAGGCAACAAACAGCAGCCCCATGAGAGGAACTCTGAGGCCAAGGGCTGACGGCCACACCCTCAGCTGTCTGCACACTCGACTCCGAAGCTCAGCTCTGAAGAGATGCCGTCCTGTGGCCAAGTGCCCATCAGTTCCTGCTCCTGGAGCCCGTCATTGACTGGCCTGAACTGTCACATGGCACCCAGGACACATGCATGTGGCCTGTGAGCTAATGCTTACATCAAGCAGGCACAGTGAGTAAAAGGCCTGTTCCAAACCTCAGTTTAGAGCCTTATTCTACAGTTCTAAGCTGAGTGACCTTGGGCAAGGGACTCAGTGGTCTCTCTGTGCTCAGTGGTCCCATCTGTAAAATGGGGGAAGATTAAGATAGTACCTCCCTCTAGGATAGCAAGACCCTGTCAAAAATAAATGAAAGGGGCTGGGAATAGAGCTCAGTGGTAAGTGTGCCTAGTACTGCCAAACAAATAAATAAATAAACGGGCACGGTGGGACACGCCTATAATCTCAGGGACTCAGAAGGCAGAGGCAGGAAGATTGCAAATTCAAGGCCAATCTGAGCAACTTAACGAGGCCCCAAGCCACTTAGCGAGATCG